TCTTCCAGGAGAATAACATCACTCTTATGGACCATCCTGCGTCTTTCCCTGATCTAAATCCAACTGAGAATGGACAACAGTTCCAGACAGTAGACGCCCTTCGTGTGGCCATCTTCACCACTTGGAGAAGATGCATTGGGATATTGAATTGTATCGTTGACATGAAAATTGCAATTGAATTGAAATGCAAGTATAGGGCTGGGTACCTAAACAGGATACCTTTTTAGTACTGACTGAAAACATTCAGTAGGTATAGATACAGAAAAAAATTATATTTTTGGAGCAAAATGCTGCACATCACATGCCAGCAGTGGCTTCGCACATGTGCGATTCATTTGCAGTCTGGATGCAGTGGGGCAAAAATCATCTGTTCCATCTTCCACTTTGTCACCAATTATGAGAGACAAAAGCCTTAAAAATTTCGAGTTTTGTATTAACTGTCCTGAGAGTTTGTTTGAGGACTGACCTCACACAGCTTTAAAGAGGTATCAGAGTCAGAGTATTTAAACTGTTTAATGCTCCGATTCAGAATGGAATGGGTGAACCAATCTTTTTTTTTTCACAAAAAAATTAAGAAACAGCGCAGCTTCATATGACAAAATGCCCTAAAAATGTTGTGTCCTAAACAAAATGGCAAACCTGGCTGACAGATAAAAATATTTTAAACAGTTGAAAACTAACTCAAACTTTACTCCTTCTTTATCTGGTGTACCTTCAGTCTTGAGGTGTTCAACAGGAGAGTTGTACATCTCTATTGTGCATTCTGCTCCACACTGATTTGGATCACCACCCTGAAAAACAGATTGCGTCATTAAACAGTATCTACAGAAATGATGTGTACGACTAAAGCAGAGGCCACCAGTGCAATGTCAGCCCAAATTATCTCCAGCATGCAAAACAAGGTTCCTTTAACTACAGTTTTATCTATTTAGTTCCATAACCTAAAGGATTAAAAACTTCAAAGGCATCTTGATATAGCAGTAGTTTGAAACATAATGGATTTTGTTAAAAAAAAAAAAAAGTACTACTTTTGAACATCTTACCATCACTAATGTCACACAGTACATCGATGAAGACTGAGCTGAATGCTCACCTGTTACACATCTCTGCCACAAATCAGTTAATGTAAAGGTAACGGTTTAGACACGTGATGCAATTTCTCCAAAACGTGCATATAAATGAGACTTTTTAAAGAAACTGATTGTTACAGCTTTAATAATATACTCTTTGACTGCTCTTGACCGTGCAAGCTACACCAGTTATTTTATTAACATTATTTCTTTTTTTTTTTGGCATTTCATTTTTATCAATTAATTTTAATTTCAGCAGGTGGTACCACACTCAAACAGATTGAACAGTGGTAAATTCATGATTTAAATCTCCTGTTCCACCACATCCCAAAGGTGTCCTTGGTTTGGGATCTGGTGAATGTGGAGGTTGATGGAGTTCAGTGAAGTCATTGTGATGTTTAAGAACCCAGTTTAACATGATCACAGTTTTGTGATATGGTGCATCATCCTTCTGGGAGTAGTCATCAGAAGATGGGTACACAGTGGTCATAAACAGATAGACATGAATGGTGGAAGTTCGAGGAGAGGAGTAAGCAATTAACTAATAAGAAAAATTATGTTTAATGATCAAACCAAGTTAACTGATGAATTCCCGAGATTCTAAATTTGAATGTATTTTTTATTTTTTTTGCAATGATAAGGAAGATTAAAAAACAATCACTTGTGACTCATGATGTGCATTAAAGGGTTAAAAAACACTGTAGGCGAAGAAAGATACCCAACGGATTTACTTTACCAAATGGACCATCCCAATAAAAGGTGAATCTATTTGAGTCGCCTTTTATTGTTTTTTTATTTTTTTATTTTATTTTCACTTGCTAAATACGGGACAGACTTGACTGGGGAAGAGAAAGGGGAGAAAGAAAGAGGGAAAGAAAAACAGCGGGGTAGAGGAACGGAGATAAAGGGCACAAAAAAACAAAAAACTAAATAAGCAGACAAAAAATACATCTATCAATCACCTGGATCACCCGTTGAGAAGGAAAACAGAGAAAACAAGCAGAGAAAAAAAAGAGCAATATAATAAACAACATCATTGTGATGATCTATGTGAAGATAACAGTAAATACTAAATATTAAACATCATTGTGCAGCACGTAAGATCGACAGCACACAGTGTGCTTTTGAGGTAGGAGCCAAAAAGGGTGTAGTTTGTGTGTGTGAGCACCCGTGTGTACACCTCTGAGCATGTACGCGCTTGTATTTAAAACGTTCCTTCATGTAATGATCTGCTAGAGCAGGGCTGCCCAATCCCAGTCCTCGAGAGCTACTATCCTGCAGCTTTTAGATGCATCCCTACTCCAACACAGCTGAATCAAATGGTTTGATTATCTCTTCAGCATGCCATCATGTTTGGCAAAGGCCTGATAACAAGCCATTCATTTGATTTTGGTGTGTGGGAACAAGGATGCATCTAAAAGCTGCAGGACGGTAGCTCTCGAGGACCGGGATTGGGCACCCCTGTGCTAGAGGGTGTGGGGGGGCCATAGCCCTGTCCTCCAGGGCATGAAGCAGGTATGGAGGAGATCAAGGCTCCAGACATCCAGAGGCCCTCAGAACACAAGAGACCAAGGAAGACCAACAGAGGGGCAACCGCACCACTATAAATTAATATATTTTCAACATAATAGCAGTGTAAAACTAAAATATACAGAAATTTAATATAGATATTACAATCATTTAATCATTTTTGATTTAATGGTAATTTACCGTTGCCATTTTACAGTTATTTGTGGTAATTTTTACGTACATTTCTTACAGTTTACATTTGCATAATGACTGAAACCAGCCCACTGAAGCAACAATGGGCTGGGAGGTCAAACAAAGGGCACTTTGGCTGAAGGGAGAAGTGCAGCTACCTGACTGAAATTGATGATGAAGGAACTATAAAAATTCCATGTTCCATGTTCTTAGTCTTAGTTTTACCCACTTTAGTTTTCCTAAAGACACATGTTCACTAAACCAAACTGAGATCTTTGGAATTTTGTGTCTTGGTACATGTAATATGGTATGTTATCCATCCCATCAGAAAATGAGCACACTGTGGTCATAAAAGGATGGACTTAATCAGCTACAATACCCAGGCTGTGGTGGATAAATAATGCTCACAAAGATCTCAAGGTGTGCAAAGAAGTACCACCTACACTATTTTATCATCAGTAGCTAGTGATGTGTGGATCGATCCTGAAATATCGATTCCTCCGATACCAGTCATTTATGTTCTAGAATCGATTCTCACATTAAAATATTGATATTTTTAGTAATTTAGGGTTAATTTGTAGTTTATCATTAACAGCAACACAGTGGAAAGAAACTATAACATTCGGATTGTCTACATTCAAAGGAACTACTTCCTCTTCCGCCTTTCATAGTCATGTGCGAAATACGGCTGTATAAATGGCTCGCAGCCCCTTGGCGGCGCACTCACAACAATGGCTGAGCCTAATTGTGCGGACGTATTTTACCTCCACAAACAGCTGAGACATGGTTTGCGATACATGTGGCAAAAAAGTGCTCCAAGAGTGAGGTGTTGTGGCTATACTTTCCCAACCTTGAGATCTCAGAATTAGGGAGAGAATCAAAAGGGCACATTTTACAGGGTTTATTTATCGGATAAAATACGTTAAATGTCACCGAAACAGCGGGGATGTCCAAATTCAGAGGCTGCTTCCACCTGAGGACCCGCCCTTCGCGGTCTAAAGAAAGCCGGGTAGTACGTCTTGAGTTCCCTCGGTGGAGTGAAACTCAGCCGTCTGCTCCTTGCTATCTAAAATATAACCGGGCGCTGGCGTAAACTCTGGACCGTCTCACACTTTCTTTAATTAGTTTTCTGTTTGATGTTTATTCAGCTGTGTGAAAACCCCGGAGGAACCCTCCCGAGGGATTAATAAAGTTAAATTTAATTTAATCTAATCTAATAACTTTAATCTCAGCCAAACCGATTTACTCACGAACAAACAAAACACTGAAAAAGCCAAACAATAACATTTTTAAGTTATCAAAGTGACTTATATATCATGTTTATCCCGAGTAGTGAAAGCCTGCGGGGGGTTTGAAGACGATGTGTCGATCGGCTCAGGTAATTGAAGTTTACACAGCTACATTCTCACCTGAAAACATGTTAAAAGTTTTTTTGCGACCCAGACAGAGAAATAAGAGTAATATTAAAACTAAGTAGCTGCCGCCATTGTTGGAAACTTGGCTCGGGCGCGCTATGAATTCTGCAATATGGTTTTTCAATTTTGTTGTCCAGGTGGAAATTCGGGAGAATGGTGGCTCTGGGATTCTCCCGGAAAAATCGGGAGGATTGGCATGTTTGGTTGTGGCAACATCACTAACCTTGTCAAACACCTCAGAGTAAATCATATCACAGAATATGAGGCGCATATGTTGAGACGAACTGGAGAGGAGGAGAGGGACAGGTGCTGCTAGGGCGAGACACACGTCTCTCACAGAGTCCTTTAGTGCTGCAGGCAGGCAACGTGTTCAAATAGTGCACAACTTCAGTTTTTTTTATTGCCATATGATGAACTCTGCATTATTAAGTGATAAGAACAAGTAATCTGATGTCCTGTAATCATTATGACGCTATAATTTGAGATACAATAAATAAAATACTTTTTTTGTATAAAGTATCGGATCAGTATCGTTGATACCACCCTGAAAAGTACTTGGTATCGGATCGGAAAGGAAATCAGTGGTATCGCACATCACTATCAGTAGCAGTCTGATCCATTGAGGAGGGATGGCTCTATGCTTTCGTGTCATTTACTCCCAAATCTGATCCTTCCAAATTTTGTTGCAGAAATCAAGACTCAATAGACCAAGAAATGTTTTTTCTGTCTTTTGATATATAATTTTGATGACACCTAGTTTGTTAAGAACGCAGACAAATCGGAAACATGAGGACAGAAAAAGATATGTCTTGCTAACTAATTTATTACACTACAGCAACAGTTATTTTAATTTTGTCTTTTTCTATATTTTTAATGTTTATTTTACATTTGATCATTTTACAATTTATAGGCTCCTTTAGTTAAAGGAATGTCTCAATGTTGTTTGTAAACTGTTGATGAAAAGTCAAGAAAACAGCTTCCTAAAGCCTTGTTTATTTGAAGTATTAATATTACAGAAACATTTGATTACAGTTAAAGCCCCACATGTGTATATGCAGTCCCCCAGATAATTTCACAATAATATTCCTGACGCATGCAATACATGCATATGACCATCCTGTGTAACTAACCATAGCTTTTTTTGTTATGATTCCATCCTGGAAAAAATAGGCAGGGAGAGAAGACATCAAACTAGCGAAGAATGAAAAATGTGGCCTGTGGCATTCAGAAAATAGCCTATGACTGCATACAGAGTTGGCATCATGATCTAATTTCAATATACATCTACGTTCTAAAGTGTTTACATTTATATTATTACATTTACTCAAATTACATAAAGACGTAGATTTCAAGTTCAATAATATTTATATTTGTCTTATCCCACATTTAATTTACCATATGCATTTCACTGTTCACACATGATATCATTTTCTGTCCATTTTCTAGCTACCTGCCTATCTTACTTCATATTTATTTTCTATCCTTCTCTATTTGCCTGCCTCTCTGTCCCAATAGTTTGGGAAGATCCTTTATTCTATCATGTCTGCCAAGATGCTGTCATCTTCTTCAACGTCCACTTTGATCTTCTTGCCCACGAGCTGCTGCATATGTTCTGGAGGGATACCCTTTGGCTCACCAACCTTCACTGCAAACATGTCCAGGCTCAGCACTGTTGCTTTAGGGATTTTCACCTTAGCAATGACTGATTTGCCCAACTGGAGTAGAAAAAGAATAGAAATACATAAAAGATGTATTTTAATACAGCTCATGTACGTTTTGCAAATTTGTACAGTTATGGATGTTCAGTGAACTGAAGAGGGTGGAAGTAAACACAGTTAACAAGGACTGGTTTGATAGTGTTATGACATGGTAGAATTTCAAAACTCAAGTCAAATGACTCAAACTGACCTTATCATGGCAGGTCTTCTCGCATGGTAACATTTGCTTGACTGGTGACCCCATTGCTGTTTCCACCAGTCGTATTGCTCGGACCAGTTCTGCCAGCTCAGAGGGCTCCAGGGATGCCTCATGGTCATTTCCCTTCCAGGTCTTATCCAGGGTCACATGGCGTTCCACAACTTTTGCTCCCATCGCCACAGCAGCCACAGTGATGTAGATCCCTTTCTCATGACCAGAATATCCAATTGGAACATCTGGAAATTCCTCCTGGTATTTCTTTAAAAAAAAGAAGTAGAAAAGAAAAAAGCCTATAGTATTATTGTCTGCTGCACGCACTGCCTCTTTGTGTACCTGTAACTGTCATACAATACAATGCTAAGACATACCCAAACAATTTAATTTAAAATCTAAACACAAGTCTGAGTATATTACAGTCAAATGTGTTGTACTGCCCAACACAATCACGGGTTTTCATTGACAGGTGTCTTCTCTCCAGAATCAGCATCTACTTTGTGATTGTGTTATATGACACTGTAAAATCATGTAACATTTAGGGGCTGGATTTGAAAGTAATTGTTTAGCTAGCTGTTGTGTACTATAAAACCGCTAATGTTTATAGTAATGTGCCATTTGCAGTGCACTGGCAGTTTGTATTCTCTGTATACTACTGCAATGAAGCTTTCATTCATGATATAGGTTAATCATTAGATTCTAAGTATATGTGAACACAAAGGACAGATAGGAATTGAATTTAGACTAGTTTATGTTGATCTGATTAGAGCAAATCCTTGACTCTTGGAGTAAACAAAATAGTATCTGCTGAACCTATTTCCCACTTCAAATCTATAACTAATAAAAAGCTAATATAGCTGATACAATCATATGTAAAAACAATATAAAAATATTTTCTCGTACATTTCATGTAGTTTTTGGCATATTGATTATTTCGCCACATTTAACCCAGAGGAGATGATGATGTTCATTCATCTTACCCTGATCACACTGAGGTTGACATCTTTAGGATCCAGAGGGTAGGCGCTGGTGCACTGCAGGAGAGTAAATTTCTGGTTGTGCTCCTTTACTGTCTTGTAGACACGGCGTATGGTTTCCATGGACTGCATCCCAGTGGATACCACCATTGGTCGCCCTGACAATGATAGATTTGTATATATGTAACCCAACAGACTTATTAATAAATGTAGTTAATATTTTAAGCAATAAATAAATCATATTAATAATTGTTTTATTATAGGTAAATAATTACACATAATTAATTCATATTTAAAATGTATTATGTCATTATTTTTATACTCCCACTGGATTTATACAGCTGCATGTTGAAATAGTCTGCAATACAAACAGCAAACAAACTTCCATTCACAGCTCGTTAATCCTGCCCACTTTTATACCTGTCCAATGCAGTTTCTCATTTTTCTTTTCGTTCTTTTTTTTTCTTTTTTTACAAAGGACCACACCCACCTTGTTACACAGTGTTTAATTCACTGCACACTGTCAGTTTCATGTTTCCTTAACATTGAGGCAAGAGTGCTGTTGAGGTGTAATACAACAAAGGCCTGTACCTTTTCTGGCTGTCTTTTCCAGATATGGGAAGTTGTTTGCATCGCAGGACGCAACTTTGAAGAACGGCACATCCAGCTCATGGAGAAACTCCACAGCCATCTATGAATATCAAGGTAATTGAGGCACAGAGTATCATCAGTGATCTGTGATATATGTACTGTTCTACGTGTTAGTTATTTAGCTACAGTATGAAAAAGAATGTAAACACTATTAATTCTACATTTTCAGGACAGAATTTGAAACTTTCATTAATTTCTGATGCTCTGTGCATGGTGAAATCATTATCATCATTTTTTGTACATTTTCTTCCAAGTTTTGGTTTTTTCAGGGCTACACATACATTACCGCATCAAAAGTAATAAAACATTTAAAGTGAATGTTCCTGATAATACATAGTTATTTGCAGCTCATACCTCATCCATACCAGAGGCGGTGAGAAAGATGCCGATGTCCTCTGCATACTTTTTTAGTTCCCTGTATTGATCATGACTGAACTCCAAGTGACGCTTGTGGTCACCGTATGTTTTCCCCCAGGAATGCTTTGAATTGTAGGGGCGCTCCAAGGCTCGCTTGCTGAATTTGTACTCTAATTCACTTTTCTGGAATTTGGCACAGTCAGCACCACAGTCCTGATGAGAGAAGAGATGAGAAGAGATAGCAAGGCAAGATAGTGATTTTACAGTTCAAATATTTTTTCATCATCATTCACAGGCAGACTATCACATCCTAAATTTACCTTTGCCATCTTGATCATTTTCTTGGCAATCTCAATGTCTCCCTGGTGGTTTTGTCCAATTTCAGCAATAATGAAACATGGATGGGAGCCCCCGATCATTCTGCCAGGACACAGTTCAAACTGTAGAGACATAGTGGCAACAGAAAGTTAACAGGCTAAAATTCTGAGTGGAGTCAAATTCACAGTTGAATCTCAAATGACGAACGCTTCCAGGTTGAAAGAAAGAGGAAGATGCTCTTGGAAACGTTGCTATTTATAATCCTGGGAAGGCCCGCCTCTGCAACACCTAAATTTGCATGTTATTCAGGTTTGATTTATACACCTACTGTTTGTTTTTTGTTTATTTTTTTCTATCCATGAGAACTAGCAGTGGTCCGTTTCTTCTGCCCAGATAGATCGTTGAGGATGACTGGATGATCCTGTATCTAAATAGGTCATTTAACAATTTCTGCCAAATTTCAATCAGGCACCATGTTTCCTCCATAAATGGTGCTGGTCTTGATAGTGTGGAGTGGTCCTTGTTTGTCATCATTTCTACAGTTGAGCCTTTGTGGTTCTGTATATGTTGCTGCAGTTTGGGATAATCTGTGTAATCGCTTGCTGTGTGGTGTATGAATGGCAGAACAGATAGAAACAGAGGCTACAAGCCTGATTGCACGACTGAAGCATTTTGACACAGTTTGTTACCAGTTTGTTAGCTAAGCTCTGGCTGGTGGGTTGAGATTGACATGCACTAAGCTCTATCATTACTCCGGGTTTCTGGTTCGCTTTGTGTTGTGTTAGAATGCCATCTGTGCAGATGTGTACAAAAAACTAAAGTTGTATTAGCAGTATGCTACAGGGATTTATGTCCTGCATGCATTTTCCATTCTACTATTTCACTCTTGTGCTTTGTGCAATAAAAACAAAAGACATGCATAAGGCATGCATTTTGCTGAAGCAAAAAAGAAGTTTATTTGGCAAAGAATATATTGACAATGAAGTCATTAAGTGCCAAGTGTTTAAGTTCCAAACAGATAATTCATTTCAGAAGCTTTCTAGGAAGAGGTGTGGCTTTTTTAAGTCATTCAACAAACCAATAAGCCACGTGTACACAAAGAACGTAAAATCTAACTGACATGATAAGACAAACAAATGGAAAATAAAATGGATCAGAACCACTATATAAAAAGTTGTGACACCACACCTACAATTGTCATGCTTGTCATCCCATATGGAAAAGATATATATAAATCTTATAAAGTTTGTATCTGTCTTGTGTGAAACTTGTATGAAAAGCATACAAGAGTGAAAACAGATATAAGATCCCTTGAAAAATTATATAATGAAACTTGTATGTTTTGGATACTTACTAAAACAATGTATGAAAGTAATGAGAAAGTGGCCACTTTCATGAGTAAATCTGTCACGGTCTGGCTGGCAGACCGTGGGGATGTGGGGAAAGGAGGACCCAAAACGCAGACTCTGCGATGCAAACAGTGCTCTTTATTTACAGTGAAAAGCTGTAAACACAATAACTCCCCGTTGCTCCCTCGAACCCCGTGTCCGTGCTTCCCTCCGACGTCTGTGCTAGTGCTCCCCGCTATTCTGTTTCCGCACTCCCTGTGCGTGCTGCCTTTCTGGACCACTCTTCCTCCTGCAGGGAAACCATGGAAGCAGCCGTCAACACTAACCCTCAGCGGGCATATACGAACAGCACAGACATATGCTGACACACTGACTTGGTACGATAACTCAATGATCCCGCGCCGGTGGGAGCTCCAACACTCTCCTAAGTAGCTCCCCGATGAGCCTGATCACCAACGGGTGTGGCAGGAACTTCAGGTGTGGCCAGTCCTCCCGCAGGGCCACACCCATCAGGCCTGCAGGTGGCTGTGTTCCATCCTCCAGTCACACCCGCAGACATACACACATACACACCCACACCCTGCCTATACATACGAGTGGGACACAGACTAACACAGCACTGTGCAGAAAAACACACACATCACCAAATAATAATAATACTAATAACAACAACAACAACAGTCAAGACTGCTCACGGACCCCGGAGTCCTCCAGAGCCGGGTCCGTGACAAAATCATGTAAGCCTTATATGATTTACTCATGAAAGTAATCACATATAAGTTTTTACTATTTCTTTTCCATATGGGATGGGTTTTATTGAGAAGGATCATTTGTAGTCTCTGTTTCAAAGACATAAGCTGACATAAACTGAGATGCTAAATGAAACACAGTACACAAAGTCAAATAGGGGGTGAGAAGGTAATGTGGAAGACAACAAAAATGAACACAAATGCAGATGTTTAAAGCAGGAATTCAATACTGACATTTGTCTTTTACTTTTTTTAAGGAAGAACATTTTTTATTCATACTCCAACTGAGTCAACAATTTTGTTAACAAATATTGTTAAAAGGAGTGCCAGCAGAGACTTGGCGTCCCACTACTTCAATGCTGCAATCCATGCCAACCCTAAAAATATAAAACTGCACAGACATGGATCAGTATTCTAGTTATAGTTTGCAATTTTGTGCAAGATGAATGAATTATGTGCAAGTTACTTTTTACATTTCAATAATATTTTTAATGAGAACTTTACACATTGATTGGTACCTTACACCAAGTGCAAGTAAAATATACAATTATTTGTTGGATGAAAATAAAATCTCATCTATAAAATGATGTAAAAGATATTTTTTATAACTTAAGATATTGGCAAATATAACTGAAATAATCCTTTGGATATCAGTTTCCAAAGTATAGTCAAGTAAAATATATCTCTGCGTCTCAAATACTTTTAAATCTGTTTAAACTTCTCCAAAAATGCCTTGTTTATGTGGGATATAATGAAAATGCATAATTACAAAATAGTGTGTAGAATAAATATTGATTTGCCCAGAGGCCTTCTTCAATAACATATTTCACCTAATTCTTCATCTACTACATAATTTACTTAGGGATTATTAAAGCATTCTGATTAGGATTCTTCAGATATCAGTGCAACTGGCAGTCAGAGACTGACTGGATAACCCTGTTCTAGCCCTGTGGTATGCTTTGGATCATGAGCTGTTTCTCTCTTTTTCCAAACCTTCTTCTTCCCATTATTCTGATCCAAGTTAACTTTGGTTTCATCTCTCAGAAATGTAAAAGTCAGAAATACCCAGGCTGTTTTAGATAAGATAAGATAAGATAAGATAACCTTTATTAGTCCCACACGTGGGAAATTTGTTTTGTCACAGCAGGAGTGGACAGTGCAAAAGTTATGAGGCAAAAATTAGAATACAATAAGAATAAATACAGTACACAACTGTACAGAATAGAATAAAATACTATATACAGTAGAATAAAATAAAATAAATATACAATAAGATAAAAATAGAATACAAATACAAATACTATATACAACTGAGTAAAAATACAACGATGACAGAAAGGATTATTGCACTTAGTATTATTGCATATGTATGGATGTGTGTGCTTGATCAGTTAAAGTCTTGGTGGCAAAGTCCAACCTGGCCTTCTTGTTCTTGGTTTCGACCTTGTTCTAGACCCTCTGTATAAGGTGTGCCTTGATTATAAAAATTTAAAAAAAAATGACAGCCCTACCTCCAGAAAAATTGTCTAGATGTTGTAAAGTTGTTTTCTTAACCAAGGAAAGAATTCTCTCTTCCCACAGTACAGTTATATTCTTTTGGTGTTGCAGAGCTGGCCAGTTCATTCTTTCTTTTCAAGAATCACGTCTGCCAGAATGTTGATTTGTGGCCAGCCTTAAAGTTTTTTGTCATCATACTAATAGGTTTTGACTTGGACAGAATGTGAAAACAAAATGTCTCTTCTTCTGTGCTTGTAGAAATTGTCGATTTGCATAACCGAGATTAAGATGCAACTTTTGCAGAAACATCTAAATTATAGTGTTTCCTTCCAATCAGGTTGTTCAATGAATTCTTAATTTATTCATTAATATGTGAACAGTTTCTTCTGCTTATCCAATTTGGAAAGCATGTTATTTTCTTAATACTTCTGCAATATTTTTCTTACTTGTTTTAAGTCATCATCGTTTTGCAACGTCAAAACACCATCACACCACACACAAAACCTGAACCCTATCTCTAGGCCTGTAACCCTGATACATACTAACCCCTAACAGCCTTTATTTTTTCCCCTGAGTGGAAATTGGTAAACCTATAACATCGTTACAAGTGTGACTCACTTGCAATGTTGAACCTGGACAAACCTTATGCTGATTCAGGAACAACACTAATTATTTCATACCAGTTATATTAGATACACCCTGTGCAAACAGTTTCATCTCCAGTGAATTTTTATCTTCAGTTGCTCTGTTACTTTAATTCATCTCTATGACTCCTATATAACTTCAAACTTTGAAGCTTCCATTATCATTGTATTAGAGGACAAAGAAAGAATGCCCCTAGGAAACCAAAAAATGTTTACTTAGTTCGTGAAGTTTCACTTGTATTATTGACCTTATGAAAGGGTCTAATTCAATCTATGTTGATACCACAACAGCTTTTATGGTATTACATTATTATATTCCACTATAACAAAGCCTTGTAGGTTCTGTTGTCCAGAGAGTAGGCACCTGCCGTTGCAAACAGCACACCATTTCAAGCATTAGTGATAGTAATAGATTTTTGCTCAGCCATCAGATTTAACAGACCTAGTCTGATCAATTCAACTGATGGAAATGCAATGGTATTACTTGTCAAGCATGGGGAATACTTACAAAAATGTCTATAATTCTCAAACAATACCTGAAAGCTGAGTTTTCACTTCAGGCACAACTTACGGTCTGTGTTTTTTACTCTGTACACCACATACCAACAAAACTACAGAAATTATGTCTTTGCGTAAACTGTAAACAAAAAGCAAAACAAACATATCCTACACATCTTGTATTTACAATATAGGACACATAAAACATATCAAATTTTTAAACTTTAAACATTTTATTGGGAAGCCAATGTAAGAGAAATATGCTTTCTAGTCCCTGTCAGGACTCTTGCTGCAGCATTTTGAATTAACTGAAGGCTTTTCAGGGAGTTTTTGATAATAATGAATTACAGTAGTCCAGCCTGGAAGTAATAAATGCACGAACTAGTTTTTCAGCGTCACTCTGAGACAGGATGTTTCTAATTTTAGAGATGTTGTGCAAATGGAAGAAAGCAGTCCTACATATTTGTTTAATATGTGCGTTGAAGGACATGTCCTGGTCAAAGGTTCCTGACAGTGTTACTGGGGGTCAAGGTAATGCCATCCAGAGTAAGAATCTGGTTAGATACCATATTTCTTAGATTTTCAGGGCCGAGTACAATAACCTCAGTTTTATCTGAATTAAGAAGCAGAAAGTTAGCGGCCATCCAGGTCTTTATGTCTTTAAGACATTCCTGCAGTTTAACTAATTGGTGTGTGTTATCTGGCTTCATTGACAGATAGAGCTGGGTGTCATCTGCATAGCAGTGAAAATGTATGCTATGTCTTCTAATGATACTGCCTAAGGGAAGCATGTATAATGTAAACAGAATTGGTCCCAGCACCGAACCCTGTGGAACTCCATAATTGACCTCAGTGTGTGAAGAGGATTCTTCATTTACATGAACAAATTGGAGTCTATTAGATAGATATGATACAAACCACTGCAGTGCAGAACCTGTAATACCTACAGCATGTTCTAATCGCTCTAATAGAAAATTATGGTCAACCGTATCGAATGCTGCACTGAGGTCTAGCAGGACAAGCACAGAGATGAGTCCACTGTCAGAGGCCATAAGAAGATCATTTGTAACCTTCACTAAAGTTGTTTCTGTGCTGTGATGAGCTCTGAAACCTGACTGAAACTCTTCAAATAAACCATTCCTCTGCAGATGATCTGTTAGCTGTTTGACAACTACTCTTTCAAGGATTTTTGATATGAAAGGAAGGTTGGAGATTGGCCTATAATTAGCTAAGACTGCTGGGTCTAGAGATGCTTTTTGAGTAAAGGTTTAACTACAGCCAGCTTGAAGGCCTGTGGTACATAGCTAATTATTAGAGATAGGTTGATCATATTTAAGATTGAAGGATTATTTAATGGCAGGACTTCTTTGAGTGGTTTTGTAGGAATGGGGGTCTAAAAGACACGTTGATGGTTTGGAGGAAGTAATTATTGAAGTTAACTCAGAAAGATCAATTGGAGAAAAAGACTCAATGAATATCAATGGTACTAAAAGTAGCCACACATCTTTGAGATTATTATGAGTATTTTTTTTCTCTAACTGTTAAATTATATTTGTGAAGAAGTTCATGAAGTCATTACTAGTTAACACTAAAGGAAAAGTTGGCTCAGCAGTACTCTGACCTTTTTTTTTTAGCCTGGCTACAGTGCTTAAAAGAAACCAAGGGTTGTTCTTATTTTCTTCAATCAGTGATGAATAGTAAGATGTTCTAGCTTTACAGAGGGCTTTCTTATAAAGCAGCAAACTATTTCTCCAGGCTAAAGGATGATCTTCTAAATTTGCGACACGCCATTTCCTCTCCAGTTTACGAGTTATCTGCTTTAGGCTACGTGTTTGAGAATTATACCACGGAGTCAGGTACTTCTGATTTGAGGCCTTAGTTTTCAGCGGAGCTACAGTATTCAGAGTCGTACGTAGTGAGGAGGTAAAATTATTAACAAGATAATCGACCTCTTTTGGAGTAACGTTCAGGTAGCTGCTCTGCTCTATGTTGGTACAGGGCATTGAAGATGACAACAGTAGGTGGATTATATTCTTAAAATCAGTTACAGCACTTTCAGAAAGACATCTACTGTGGTGAAATCTACTCCCCACTGCTGTGTAATCAATTATTGTAAATTTAAATGTTAGCTGGAAATGACCACACAGGAGAGGGTTTCCAGGAAACACTATTAAAGGTTCAGTTTCTATGCCATATGTTAAAACAACATCTAGAGAGTGATTAAAGTGGTGGGTGGGTTCTTTTACATTTTACTAAATCTACACAGCATTTAATCTGTTAGTCTACTAACAGATTAAATGCTGTGTCGAGGCTGTCATTTTTAGTATCTACATGGATGTTAAAATTGCCCAAAATAAAGATTTTTATTTGAGCTGAGCACTAAATCAGATGAAAAGTCTGAGAAATCAAACTCTGTAAGGCTCAGGTGGACAATAGATGATTACAAATAAGACTGGTTTTTGAGTCTTACATCTGACTGAGGAGCAATTACAATCTGCAACTTCCACATATGAACACCCAAACCATTTTGAACAGAGTTCTAAGTAAAATAGTAAAATCTGTCTGTTGAAACTTATTCATCTTGTGAGCATGAGAATATGAGTTTGAGACTTTTTACATCATTGCGTTCTGTTAACGGTGTCACAATAATGGGGGGGTTGTGTACTTTTGATAGTGTAATAGTACATAGGTGTTCATATCATTTAACAGCAGGTAGACCGTGGTGTGACCTTAAGGTTTTATATGACATCGGCGTGATGTTGCAATGTCACCATTGTTGCAAAAAATAAATAAAATGTTGATCAATACATTTACATTAGATGACAGTAAAAAGGAGTCTTCAATGTGGTAAAGTTCATATAAAAACATTTAATGCAAATCTGAGATTGTTTCCCCTTAGTTTGAAGCAATATCGAGTTATACTCTGACCTCAAGATAAAAAATAAAAAAGCTAAACAAAGACTAGATATTCAATATGAAGTTGAAGGACAGCAGAACAACATCTTTAATTTACTTTTTATTGATATTGAAATCAAATGGACATCAAACAAACATGGTCAACCAACATCTGGCTAGGATCTAGTTCTCTTTAAACCCACAAATGTCTAATTTTAGTGACATAAATGTTTTATATAATGTATATATATTGCCTTCTGTATATGTACATAGGTACACGCATTAGGTACACACACTGCTGAGGTTTAAACACACATACAAATAGGTCACATTTATTGTAATGACTGGACTTCAGTTCAGTTCCTGACTAGGAGGGGGAGAGGCTTTCAAAAGAAATGCATAGTTTAACACAATATGCCACAAGCAGGCTCTACACACAGTTCAAAGTACACACACTGAATTTGGAGTTCTGTCTGAAGAGTTTGGTCCTTCAAATCAAAATCAGAAATGCTTTGTACTGGACATGCTGCGGAAAGAAATGTGAATGAAACCATGTAATATCAACCCTCAAAAGTAAAAATATTAATGAGGCTGACAGATTAACAGTGACAACACAGCATTATAGGAATGATATCGGG